TGTCTCTGGACTCCCATGTAGTCGACCGCAGTTCGTGTCCCGGACCCAGTGGCTTAAAACTTCCTCCGGGCACGTGTGCGTGTGTACCCAAGATCCCGAGAGGAGAACAGAGGAGAAGGGATTGCGGCATGACCATCCCTCCTGGGGAGTGATTTCTCGCTTTCTATCTCTATGTTTTTCTCTGTCTGTCTGGTGAGGGGATGTGCCCTATAGCAAAAACCCCTCAAAAAAAAAAAAAAAAAAAAGAATTCATTGGAAACAGAGCATCCAAAAGCATCAGATGTCGGCTTTTCAGCTGTGATTTCGTGTAAATCTCTTTGTAACCTTTATGGCGAACGTTCGTGCTCTCGTGGGAAGGAAATAGAATCTGGGTCAGTAAGAGTCTTGCACCTCGATTGCATCTCTCATGTGGAGTTTGCCAACTAGACAGCTATGAAGGATGGCCATACTCTCCCATCTGTCCCTGGATGACATAAATAACATTTGCTTTTTTTGTTTAGACTGAAATAACGTTTTCCAAGAAGAAAATAAAAAAATAAAAATAAAAGGAAGGGAAGGGAAAAGAAAAAGCTAACTACCACGCTGGTGACCTGGAAGGATCCTCCCGCTGTTCTGGGGAACGGCGACAAGGACAAGCCTCCTGGGCCCAACTCTTAAGCTGCCGATGGAGCCAGGCCGGGCAGAGAGGCCTCTGGAGGAGAGGACAGTGGCCTAGAGAGACGCTGTTGCGTGAGCAGCATCTGGAAGAGAAAAGCAGCACCCAGACCTTTCTAGACTGGCTGGCCTGGGGCAGGGATGCCTGGGCCTGCCAGGGGGGCTTCGCACATACAAAACCGGAGCTTGAGGAGCTTGAAAACCTGACGCCAGCCTGTGTGCTGCTCTGGAAGGCTTTCTAAGCAGCTGGGCCCGATCTCTGAACCCACCGGCCTCCTGGGAGCCCTGCGGCCGCGTCTGCTCAGCACCCTGTGGCCTGAGAAGGGCCTCTGTCATAGTTGAGTCACACATGGACCACCTGCTCTGCACACGACCCCAGCTGTCTCCTGGAGGCTCTTTTTGGGGTGTCGTCTCTCAACAGACCCCAACCTCCCACAGGCCTCATCCCTCCTTCACCCCAGCAGCGCACTTGTGCCCTGGTTTAGGACCCTGCCTCTGACGCCGTGGCTCCTTACCTTCCAACGGAGCCTTTCATTACTCCCAGGAATGCAAAGTGTGCAAAGATTGTGTCCCATAAACCAAGTACATTTTATTGCATAATAATCCCCATCCCCATGACAACCAATGTTGTCACCCTGAGTTGATACCATACCAGTCAAAAGCAAAGACACTTCTCATGGTAAATGTATCATTTCCATTATCCTTCTTTAAATATCCGAAGTAGTTCGTGCCCCATCCCCTTGAGGCTTGTGGAGACCCCAGGCTGGGAACTTCTTTTCTGGGGGCTAATGTGGAGTGAGTGTGGCCACATCTCCCTGGGTTTCCTTTCTCACAGATGGGCGAACTGAGTGAGGCTCTTCGTTTTGTGGAGGCTTGCCGTCATCAGAGGGACAAAAAAAAAAAAAAAAATCACTGTGGAAATTGGGATGATTTAAATCGCCCCTTCCTGGGACCAGCAGTTAGCGTAATGGCTATGTCGCTGGACCCCCACGTAGTCGACCACGGCTCGCGTCCGGACTCGGTGGCTTAAAACTCAAACCGGGCGCATGTGCGTGCGTGCTCAAGATCCCGAGAGGAGAATGGAGAAGGGATTGCTGCGTGGCCATCCCCCCGGGGGGTGATTTCTCACTTTCTGTCTCTCTGTCTCTCTCTGTCTGGCGAGCGCATGCGCCCTATAGCGAAAACCTCTCCAAAAAAAAAAAATAATAATAAATTGCCCCTTCCTGATCTTAGCTCCTCATAACATTAGACTTTTTAAGACATAAAAATATATTTTTACATTTTTTTCAGAGGGTGCATGTGCTCAATAGAAAGAGGGAGAGGGAGAAAGCACCCCACAATGGAGCGCGGTCACACTGCGACCCCTTTTCCATTTCTCCAGCCTGTTGGGATTTGGAGCATGTGTATACACCCAGCGTGTTTTCTAAGCCACTGGGGCTGGGATTCGAACGGCATGGTCAGCTCTGTGGGATCTGGCTCCCTGAGTCCCTAAGCCACAGGACTGGCCTAGACATGAAAATAATCAAGCTGGAAAGGCTTGCCTTCTGCCCCCGAGGTGCCTTTCTGCTTCCAGCCCAGCCCTTCCTGGGTTCTTGGAATCGACCTTCCAGCTGCTTGGGCAGAAGGCCAGGACTGACGAGGCAGAAAGGACTGAGGTTACCTGGGTGTGCCCTAGGACCATTGCTATTTTGAGGGAAAGGCTTCAGTGGTCAATTATTTTTGAGAATGACAAGGTTAAACGAAGGTATACTGGTTTAGTTTAGTCTTGCATTTACTTCAGGAGTTTCTTCTTCTTCTTTTCTTCTTTTTTTAAGTTTTTGCCATAGGGCACATGTGCTCACCAAGAAAGACAGGGATAGTGAGAGGGAAAGTGAGAAATTGCCCCCCCCCCAGGGGGATGGCCACACCACAATCCCTTCTCCTCCATTCTCCTGGGACTTGGGACATGCATGCACATGCGCTGGGCGTGAGTTTCAGACTGGGTCCAGGACTCAAACTATGGTTGGTCATGTGGGAGTCTAGTGCCTTAACCAGCAGGCCACCTACTGGTCCCACTTCAGGAGCTTTTAAAATGCCTTGGTCCCCAGGCTCTGCCAGGTGGGTGAGATTATCTCCCAACGTATTGGACCTGAGTTCTCTTCAGAGGAGACCCGTCAGCACCTCCCGGGCACTGGGGACCATATATCCTTCCAGATAAGAACATGAGTTTCATGGAGGCAGAAGGCCCGCATTCCACCTTTGACCAGATGTGGCCTGGCCCAGGTAGAGCCAGTCTAATCTCCACCAGAATCTACTCCTGGCTTTGTAAATGTGGGTCCTCCTGCCATGGCTCCCCACACCACTCGCTGCTCACCTTAGTTTAACCTGGAAAGAAACTGTCCAAGGGACTGCGGAAGCCCAGGGACTGCTCAGAGAGACGCCATGTCTAGGGGCTTTGTGTCCCCAGCAGAACCTCCAAGGCTGGTGGAAGCAGGAAGGACGGAGGATGCAGGGCTCTCCCAGGGTGTGACTGAGCTCAGCCTGAGGCTGGAAAGGGGTGCTCTGGGGATCCAGGCAGTGGCAGAGAAAGAGAGAGCTGCTCCCACATGGTGACAGTGCCCCACACCTGCCCCTGCAGACCACGCCCTCTCAGGCAGCCCCTCCAACATGCCTGGGCAGGAGGAAGCCACCTGGAGCAGAGGCCTCCCAGTGTCTGTCCTCACCAGGGTGGGGACACTGTCTCCAAGAGGAAGCTCCTCTCCTAGCTGCTCTTCAGTGGTGGCGCTCAGAGGCTGACGATGGCAAGGCGAACAGGCCCAGGCTCCCTTGGAGAGCAGGTCAGAGGGGCCAGCAGTGGCTGGTGGTTAAGGTGCTGGACACCCCCACATGGCTGACCATGGTTCAAGTCCTGGGCCTGGTGGCTTGCTTTCTCACTTTGCCTTTCTCTCTCTGTCTCTCTTTGAGCAAATTAAAATAAAATGAATGAATAAATAAAATTAAAAAAAAAAGAAAAAGAAAGATAACAGGAGGGTCCCCATGTAGAACGGCGCCTATGTGCTCTTTCCCGCTGTCCAGGGTGGGTTTTGAGACCCTGGGGAAATTCTCCCCCCAGCTCCCAGACACTCTCCCTCCGTCCCCCTGCCCACTCTGGTGGGGAGGGGCACCCCTGCTCCAGGTGGCCACCAGCACAGGCTGGGTTGCCCTGTGAGCATTAGTGGGCGTGGGGGTGGGAGGTGGGGGACAGGTGGGGG